ACTCACTAAATGATTTTAATGATAAAAAATATTATTCTCTTTAAAGATATTGAGTTCAAACAATTACTTTTATAGACTATATATTATCAATAAATTAAGAAAAATTAACAAATACTTTCATGTAATCATGTAAGAATATTTAAACAAAAATTAACAATGTTCTTGGTGACGCCCCAGGCTAGCTTTAAGTTGGGCGAAATAGAAAAGGTTCATGTCTTGGTCTACACTTTGGGCCCTTTTTTATTGGTTTAGTTTCGTTGTCTACTTATAGCAAGGCTGAACGAAACAAGAGATAGAAAGTTAAATCAATGAATTGAAAGCTTAATTATAATTTCAATTGATTTGGTTAATCAATGCAATTAAAATAACTTTAATTAGGCGATGCATCATTTGTTAAAATAAATATATTCCAATCAATCAATTGGATACAACTTTTTTGGCATGGACTTATTGTCTATGAACAATTTTTGAGAGGTTATGCTATGAGGAAGTTAAAATGTGGTTAAAAATGGGGTAATTGGTTAAATAAGTGATCAATTAAAAGTATTATCGAAAAATTTATTTGTGTTGATAATAATAATAGTAATAAAAAAAATAGTTGTCCCTTGTTCCCATATGTAATGGGGTAATGGGGTAAGGGGGAGGTAAGATAGTAGGCTGCCCCCAACATCAGGTTGAGAGCAGCTTCCGTAGAAGACCTCCGAATTATGAAATGCCCTCCGTGGGACTCGATCCCACGACCTCAAAGTTAAGAACCTTGTGCTCTACCAACTGAGCTAAATAGTCATCTCGATAATAATAATAGTAATAACCGGGAATATTATCATTGTATGTAAAATGCACAAAAAATAATTGACTTTAACATACCAGTTAGTTACTGAAAACATTATGAACCATAACAACATAACAGATAGCGCTTATTTAATGTAATAGGTAGGGTCTGTTTAAAGTTGATGATGCCTTAGAAATTTGACGATAACAAAATAGGTTAATTACTTAATTTGTTATTAATATTATCAACATATTAGGTAGCGCCTAAGATATTACCAAAGTTTAAGCTGATAGGACCTTAGAAATTCGACGATAAAAAAAGTTAATTACTTATTTTGTTATTAATATTATCAACATGTTAGATAGCGCCTAAAATGTTACTAAAGTTTAAGCTGATGGGACATTCGAAATCCGACGACAACACAATATGTTAATTTCTTATTTTGTTATAAATAAATATTAACATATTAGGTTGCACCAATAATGTTATTTTGAATAAAGAAGTATGTTACAATATAAAATATTAAAGTTGTGTTTAATAATAACGGTAGGATTTAATATATTACATATCTTTGGATGACAATTATTTTTAAAATAAAATATCGATACTACTATGATCTGATGGTCAATCATTTAGAAAATATCAATATCATCTATAATGTTCGATATTTTATCATTTTAGAAATTTGTTAAATAAAAAAAATTGAAATGTTAAGATTGAAAGTGACTTATTTATAAAATTCCATTAAAATATCTTTGTAAAAATATCAATACTTATTGTAGATGTATGAAAATTATTATATACTTAGTATATGTATCAATATGTATTTAAGAAAATTATTAATACATGGCATCAATACTTTAGAATTTTAGATTTTTTATGATTGTTATCGAGACTTTAGCATTTGAAAAAAATTGATGAATGTTAAAATATCGATAATTGATAGTTGATGTATCGATATTTTTAAAAAGGTGATGAATTCTACCTCTCACATCAACCTACAAGTATCAATACTTTCGAATTTTAAAAATATATTTCAAACGGCTAAGTTGTATATATTTTTACGTTTAATTATTATTCATCTTTAAACAAACCGATAATTAGTTTAACGTAATAGGTAGCGTCTATTTTATTTTACCGTTTATATTATTATTAACCTTTAAACAAATCGGTAGTTAGTTTAACGTAATAGGTAATACTTATTTAACATAATAGGTAGCACCTATTTTATTTTACCGTTTATATTATTATCAAACTTTAAATAAACCAATAGCTAGTTTAACGTAATAAGTAACACATATTTTACTTTACCGTTTATATTAATAGTAACCTTTAAATAAACTAGTAGATATTTTAACGTAACATGTATCGCCTATTTTATTTTACCATTTACATTATTAGTAACCTTCAAATAAACTGGTAGATAGTTTAATATAATATGTAGCGCCTATTTTATTTTAACCATTTAAGTTTTAAATATAAGTATCGATACATACAATATAGACATGAATACTTTTTAAGGACAATAGTTGCATATAACTTACTGTCGAAACAATATATATACTTTTAGAATAAGTATGAACACAAAAACTATGCAATTTATGTTTCAAAATTTTTTAATAGTTCTTCATGTTTTCCATCTACAACACTAATTTAATAATTTCATTTACACAAAAAATTATTTGATTATTTAGATTTTTTTATAAAATATTGTTTAGAATTAAAATTTAACAATTTTAACTAAAAATAATAATAAATATGTAATATATATGTTTATTATTTTTAATTTAATATTAATATATATAGTAACATTAAAATAAGTCATTAGATGCTTATAATTACTAAATTAATATCTTAAAACCCACTCAAAAGGTAACTCTAAATTAATGTTTTTCACATTGAAGTAAGTATGGATACTTATATATGTATTGATACCTACTGATAACTAAAGTTTATCGGTTACCAAATTTTTTAATAGCTCTTAATGTTTTCCACCTACAACATTATGAGTCTGTCAACATTTCCGATAGCACTTTACCAAATTTATTAATTATATTATTAAATTTTCGGTTACACCGTTTCTTAACCTTATATTAGTCCGCCTCCTTAGACATTCCCACATTATTTCCTTACTGAAGATGTCTTTTGCCGTTTTAACTTAGACAAAACTTCAAACTTCACCCTCAATGGTTGAAACTTGGAAGATTAAACAAAACAGTTTCGAAGTGAAATATCAATTTTTAAAAATAATAATAATTATTATATCGAATATCAATAATTATATATATATATAAAAACTATACTATTAATCGTCATAATTAGAACCAAGAAAGGAAAAATAAGGGGTTTGAAAACAAGCAGCCGCTGCTTGTTTGATGATTTAGTAGTGGCCAACAAATTTAGGTGCATTGATCTTTTGTTTAAGGATAATAAATAAGATTTAGTCATAGATAAGGTATCTTCTTTCTTTGATGCTGTTACAATTCTACAGATTCGGGGAACTATTTCTCAATTAGCATCCTTCAAGCTTAAGTAAAGCACTTGATTAATTGTTTAAACTGTAGCTTTAGAAAAGGGGGAAAAACAATTACTTAATCAAATTTTGGTTTAATTTGTTTGTACTGAAGTTGTGTCCTATCTTTTAATTAGGGTAAACTACATATTTAGTATTTAAACTATCACCTTTATTCCATTTTAAAACATAAACTTTCATTTGTTTCAAAATCATACCTAACGTTTACTTATTGTTTTATTTTAATATCTCGCCGTTAACTTTAAAAAAATGAAATTAATGTGACATATTTTTAAGTATTTTTACATTTCAATATATTTTTCTTTAATTTTTAATAACTATGTGGATTTTTAAGTTATTTTTAATAACTATGCCGTTAACTTTTAAAAAATGAAATTAATGTGACATATTCTTGTTCTTCAGGGAGTAAAGCCAAGATATAATGGCTGATATGCTAAACGACTTAACATATATTTCGCCATAACAAGAATTTGATCACACTTGGAATTCAAACCTAAAATCTTTAACTAAAATTAATATATATATATTACACTCAATTAACATTAATATTTAATATATATAATTTTTAAATTAAATATTATGTTTAAATTTATTTAGGAATAAAAAATAATAAAATAATTATTTATGTATTTTTATACAATTAATATTAAATAATTATAAAAAATATATTCTATAATATATAGTTTGAAATTTATATTTAGTTAATTATTTTATTCACATATGAAGTTAAAAAAATTATTTATTAATTTAACAGTTTTAAAAATTAATTACTAATATTAATGAAATTTGTAGAGATTTTTTTAACATAGTGGCTAAATTGTGTGGTATTTAAGTAGAAGTTCTCAAGTTTGATTCTAGACTTAACTAGATTTTTTTTTATGGTAATGTGCTATTGGTTAAGTAATTCTTTTTTACTTTAATTCAAATGGATGGTTTAGTTGGATGGTTAAGTGTCTATATTTTACCCTATAGATTAGGGTTTGAGTGTCGTTACTGCAAGCTTTCATGTTTGATTTAAGCGACTTAATAAAATGTTACCAATACTCTACAGGATTTGAGTGTCACTACTACAAGTTTTCATGTTTGATTTAAGTGATTTAATAAAATGTTACCCATATCACATAAAATGAAAAATTATGTGAAAATTTTAAAAAATATTTTAAAAAAAATACCATGTCATTATCACTGTTTAGGTATTAAATGAAAGTTTTGGTACTAAAATAATTTAAGTAATATAATTTTGAAACAAATAAAAAATTGGATACTAAAATGAAACACAAATAATAATTTAGGTATTTAATATGTAGTTTACCCTGTTTATTGCGGTCGATGGAATTGAAATTAAAATTATGCAATACATGAACACATCAGAAAGACAGTGACATTGTTTTTATTTTATTAAAGATTTGTGGGCATAGTTTAATGTCAGATAAAGAAATAAACTTTGTTGACATCAAACCATAAAAACAAATATTTACAAGAAAAATATAAATTAAACTTGAAAGTAGGTCCCCTGTTCCTATCTAGCCAACTACCACCGTCTCAATAATGGATTATTTGTTTAACTAATAAGAATAATATATATTTAAAAAAAATAATTATTTAAATTTAAATAAATGTATATATGATGAGTTTGGAGTCGTAGTCTTTATAGATGACGACTCTCCTCTAATCAGTTAAGAAAGCTTTGATTCGTACCCGTTTAAATGAGTTGAAATCATCATCATCATCCATACTTGAATAGTTACATTATGCCAAAACAGAAGAAAAACATCCTCTGATTGTGAAAATCAGAGAAGAAAATTCAAGTATAGATAGATATGGCAATTAAAAATTTGCCATTTCATGGTCTAAATAAATAAAAGAAGATATCAAAACCAAATCTGGGTTTTATTTTTACTGTTAATCTTCAAAACCTGTTTTTTTCCAGACAGCATTTCGAACACGACGCAAATCTCTTCCTTTCAAAGTCCTTCCAATTCCTTCATGAACGGAAAACGAAGCTCCTCTTCTCCTAGCCAAGTACTCGTGCGGCGGAACCCTTCCGTCTCCATCACCGTCGTCTTCTCCGACGACATCTTCATCGGTCTTCCCGTGTTCTATGTATTCCGCTTGGAGGATCTTGGACCAGTCCGGGATGTTGACCGGCAATGAAGCTGAAGCAGCTGCCATTTGGGCACCCCTGTATTTATTCTTATCACTAATCTGAATCTCCATCTTTTTGGAAACCTTCTTAGACAAAGCTCGTGAACTGGGCAAGGGCTTCTTGGGTTCCGAGTTGGCCGTCGCTTGATCATTTGAATTGTTCCATACATCATCTTCATCAAAATCGAACAGATTATGATGATGATCCAATGAAGGGTTGTTCCCATCGTCAAATTCCATGGTTGGGTAGATATATCTTGGTTTTGAACCAAAAAACATCTTCCTTGCTGCCATTTTTGAAACCCCAAAACCAAGAAAGAAACAACAACAGTTGAGGAATTCTGAAGAAGAAAAGAAAAAAAATATTATCTTGCCTTGCTTTGATCTGTTTTGGCAGGACTATGGTTGATGATTATCTTCCATTTTTATACTAGTGAAGTGGATAAGGTCTATTTTTTTAAGGGCAAACACATAAATTAATAAAATAGAGTGAGAATTTTCAAATGCCTGCTTCCTCAAAACCCACCCATGGATTTCACCGTTTGATTTTCTTTACTATTCCTTTGATTTCAAAAGTATGCGTTTTTGTAATCTTATACGATAAGTGGATTTACATTTAATGCTATCAATATTAATAAAATATGTCATAAAATTATCATTAATAAAAAATTTCTAAATTAATCTATAAGATATTCAATGATGTAATCAGAGGTGAAACGATCATGATGTTACTACATTGTTAGTGAACTACTGTTTCTTTAACATGATTTTACCACATTTGAACATTCAATTGAATGGTGAGTATATTATTATTTTTCACTCAAGTCATTATGATTGGATTACCTACTTTTTCCAATAAAATTTAATTCAACTAACAATTTCTAATATTAAAAAATATTTATTTCAATCAGACAAAACCATGCACCAACGGACCTCACGAAATAAAATGATTATTTAATGTTTTTATTTATGTTTAAAAATATTTAGAAATGAATCCAATGAACAGAGACGTTCTTTGTAAATAAAAATTAAATTTGATCAATATCATGAGTAAATTTTAAAAGTAAAATACTGAAAATATATCTCAAAATGACACGTAATAAATAAATGCTTTTGGGGTGGGTCCTGAAGGAGGGTGAAGAAACTTATCCAATTGGATGGGACCAACGGGATGAGAAAAGGTGGGGCAATGGGAGAGCTCCATTAATCATTCATTGGCTCCTATTTATTACACACGCTTCTGGCGGGCGAACCGCACGAACCGGGACAGAAAAGTGTGGCCCCACTTTCCCAGTCGTACGTTTTATCATCAAAAGAGAAAGGATCTGAGCGTCCATATCCTGACACGTCATGTCAGCAGCATTTCTTTCGATTATTTTGTCGCGATGTGTAAATGACGTGGCACGTCGTGACAAAACGAATGGGATGTTACCCACAAAGCACGTGGCATGACAATACGAATGGAATGTTAAACCAAGCACGTGGCACCTGCATGGAGAAGCAAAGAACAAATGATTGAGGCTGTATAATATTTTTTTACATATATTCAAGTGAAGAGTGAAAATGATGTTGAAATACATGCATTTTAAAGATAAGTGAAGCGAGGTAAATTTGCCTGCACAGGAACTGCTGATTCCGATAGCGAGTAGCATGATTGATCACAGAAAGGAATAGTCGTTAATTAGTAGCCTCTTTCTCTCTGAACCACAAGACTTCACTATAAATACAGTATGTTTGATTCGAGTGATATAAAATTTTAAAATAAAACTATATTACTCGACTTAATAACATTATATCTGACAATAATAATATAAGATTTTCAATAGTTATCTTCATAGATTACAATTACCAGATTTTTCTATTGTCTTTTTATAGAAAAAGTTGTCTCGTGTAAAACCATCGTCTGGATTTGAATGAAATAGTGAATCTATTTGTCAAAGTCGTTTTATAATAGTTCAATTGTATTAAGTCTTTTAAGAGTTTATTATATGATTGAAGTCATTATTGGCCGCATGGTTTTCAGAACCGGACCGGTTAGCGAACTGGTCATGCTACCGGTTCACTGGTTCAACCGGTCGAACCCGGTCCGATTGGTCGGAAGAATCGGACGACGTCATAATTATTTAAAAAATTAAATAAAATACCAAAAATATTTAATAAAAAATAATTTTTTATATCACAAGTCATATTCAAAGCAAATCATAACATATATAAGTTAAAAACCATAAAATCAAGTGAAACAAAATGATTCAAATTAACTACAACATAATATTTAAGGTAAAACATATTAAATAATAAATATAATTATATAACTATAATTAAAAAATAATTTTGGGGTTAAAAAAATCATAACAAAATGATATTATTTGGTTTAATTTTTTTTATAAAAACAATCTCACATGGCTAAGAAACATAGAAGAGCATCCCAAAAGTCTAAAGAGTAAAAATATGAGAACAAAACAATCTCACATTGCTAAAAAACATAGAAGCACATCACAACTAACTTCTATAAATAATAGAGGTAATTTGACATTCAAAATCATTGAGTCTTTTGGTGAGCATTGAGTGAACTATTCTTTCACTTCAATTAAGCTCAAATTTTTAGGCTTCAATCGAGCTTCTAATTTTTTTTGAGTTCAAGCCTTTTTGAGTTCAAGTTTCAATATTATATCTCGAGTTTGAGTTGAACTTGATAATTTTTAGCTTGTGAGTTTGAGTTGAGTTGAGCTTACTTTTAAAGTTTTCAAGTTCGAGTCGAGCTCAACAATACTCGAGTTCGACTTGGCTCGTTTAACAAACGATGTTGTTTAGTTTAATTTTTTTTTAAAAAAAAAACAAAAATCCCGGTTTTCAGCCGGTCCGGTTCGAACGGTTCAACGGTTCTGGCCGGTTCACTAATAACGGTTCAACCGGTTTAGATTGAACCGGACTAAGTAATGGTTTCCGGTTGAACCGGCCGGTCCGATCTGGTTTTCAAAACAGAGATTGACCGTTTTAGACTAGGTACAATCAAATAATCATAAGTTTGATTTACTTCTATATTGGAATCATAGTTAAATTTAATAATTAATCACATGAAGGGAAGATTAAAGCACCCACACAACGATTCTTTGGTCGTGAAACTAGGTTGAGGTTTATGTTGGTATAAAGAGCCATGTTTGAGTGTGGTAGGGTGAGGGCTAAGATTGGTGTTGGGTGAACAGGTGCGGTTGAACAAACTTGGTTCCACCGGGATCTCCCACCCTTAACTGTCATTCCCTCTTCCTTCAGAACCCCCAACTTTTGTTCCCAATTTCATGCGTGTTTCCCATTCTCCCCTAAACACATAAGTATATAAATACCACTTGTCTTATTTTTATTTAAAAGCAAATATATATGTATATATGTATGTGTATATATATATACACATATATACACACATATATACATAGGTTATGATCCACTTACATAATGTAAAATTCTTTTACTTTATATAGATTTAGGATCATTAGATGGGTAAAATAGGTGGCTTAGATTAATTTATTATTTTTTCACTGAATATCTTATCATTTCTTATTGTACTGTTAATTTTGGACATCTATTTTCTTATCTAACGGTCTTAAATATGTGTAAAACTAAAAGAGTTTTACATTATGTAATACGATCATATCCTTATATATATATATATATAATATCAATCTTTTACTTATATATAAAATCATTCGATTCATAAATCTCATACAATCTAATAAATTGAAATCACCACTTGATTACAAACTCAAATCAGATTATCATCACAACAATATTACAACCAAAATATAATAAATATAAAATTAAACCCAAGACAAATCATCAAGAAAAAAATATATTAGATTTACGGAAGCATACCTGAATCATTATTGAAGATTACCTAGAAAGTTGATATATTGAAGATTATCTTGAAGGTTGAGATCTTCCAATAAGATAGATTTCTCTATTACAAAGATAAGAGAAAATACAAGTTGACCTATTCTTTGCCTCTTGGAGACCACTATTTCTTTATTAAATAATTTAATAACCAGTTATTGTATGTATTTATAATTCCGTCACTTATCAAATTATAAATACGACTTTAATGATATCTACACTTTTATTACCATGAAACTTCTAATATCTTATGAGTATAATATAATTAGCCACTTAATTTTATGTCATATTTTATGATAATATTATACATTATACTTGTCGTTAGTTAATTTTGAATGAAAACTCGAGCGATTTGTTCCTCGAATTTTAGACCATTACATTTTCAAACCAAGTCCACGAAACTAAGAAAGATTTAACATTCAAATGTTTCAAATAAGAATGTATCAACAAAACAAGTATGTGAACATCTTTAAGTGCCTCGATATCAGAATGTTTAAACATCTCTGTAAAAACTTCGAGCCCTCGTGAATGCTTGTAGGGTGTGACAGTTTCTTTATCTTATCAAGCTCCCCAACGACGAAAATGATGAAGGAAGTGGGGTAACGATCAACTCGAAACAAGGCGTGAAACATGTTGGTGACGATGGTGTTGCACACAGACAACTGGACGACGACGAAAATTTGAGAAAGAAAGATAGTTTTGGGAAATTGGGAGATAACAAAAGTCAACCCAGCAAATTAGATTTTATACTTGATTTGAGTCGGTTTAAGGAGATACAAACTAAAAATAATATATCTTATATCTTGAGGGCATTGTAGTGCAAGTGGATGGAAGGTTTCTTTCCAACCATGAGATCCTAGGATTGCAGCATAACAACCTCCAAACCTCTTATTTTCAACATAACCAACTGACGGGGAAACCAAATAAGCTATCTTTGAACTTCACAGAATGACTCAAAAATTTTAAAGAAATATAATTTAGACCTCAATTTCACAAAATAAAATTTTAATCCCTCATCTGGGATGTGACATCGAGGGTTAAAAGAATTTTTTTTTATCGAGGGTAAAAATGTTATAAGATTCTTTTTATTTTTCTTTTTGGTTGTTGGGTCTAATCATATGTCGAGTTATTTTCCTACAACCTAAAATCTTTCAACAAAATTATCGAGGGTAAGCATAATGGTTTAATTATGTGGATAAATTTGTTTGTTAAGTTAAAAATACTGAATTAAAAGTTAAACCGTTGAAATCATTGCAATTTAGAAGGGAACATGTGGCCAAAGTTCATTGAACATATGGGATTCTTTTCATATCGATAAGCAAGGACGGTTAAAGCTTTGTCTCATACAAACTTACTTTGGGCATCTTGCGCAAGGGCGTCAAAAATTATGTTATTTTATATATTTTGCAAATTAAGCCTTACCCCTTTTATATGTTTCTGAATACGTGTTAATTATAAATTCATGCGTATGTTATATATTTTGTTTTTTTCTGAGT